ACAGCTCAATGTTAAAGTGCTTTCCTAGCATGCACGAGGCCTTGGGTTGCATCTCGAGTAAACAAAAGGCAATAAATGCATGATGCTTTCTGGTTCATAATTGTTGATACTGTTATCTAACAACAGAAAACTAAGACACGTCCTAGTACAGATAAAATGTGTTGTGCCCATAGCATTGGTAGCAAGTTCCCAGAGAGGGATCTGAGCGTACAACAGGGTGAGGGGCCGAGGGGAACTGAGGATGCCCTCTGTCTGGGGAGGGCACACGGTGCTGGGCTTGTCCAATGAGTGCCATGTTGAAATGTAAAATCAGTGTCCCCAGATGTTTTCACTTTTCCAGAAAATATAGAAACCTGACTTGAACAAAAGTTCATAGTTTTTAGGTGTTGGCTGTCAATCTGGAGCTTTTGGCAGGCAAGAAAACCTGTCTAGAAGCTTAACTCAGATGTGCAGGTCAGGCCAGAATTATCCCAGTGAGTTTATTTCAATTCAGAGCCCATACTTTCAACTGCTGGGCTTGGGCCTTCAAACTAAGGGTCATTGAGAGGGCTTGAGAACTTGACACAAAGTCCTTAAAATGTTGTTTGTTACAGAGAACAAAAACAATATGCTTTACTTTATTATTAATGTTATAATGTATATTGTATAGCGCCCCCCCCATGGCTATAACAAACATAACTTAAAATAAATATAGTATTCTACAGCTCTAGAGGTTAGAATTCATGGGGCAGTATTACCTTGTAGAAAGGCTGGTTCCTTTTAGAGGCTCTGGAGAAGAATCAGTTTCCTGCCTTTTGTGATCTTGAGAGTTCATCCACATCTTTGGACCTAGCTCATCTTCTACGCCTAAAAGAGCTTCATGGCCTCTATGACTTTCTGTCCCTCAGCTTTGGTCCACACCATGCCCTTCTGTCTGACTCCTACTCCTGCATTCTCTCTTAGAAGGGTGATTACAGTGACATTAGACCCTTCTGGGTAATACAGGATAATCCTCCAACTCACAATCAGATCCCTGCACTTTGATCACATCGACATTTTTCCCATTAAGCTACTATTCACTGCATTCGAGGATTAAAACATAAATATTTTGGAAAAGCCACTGTTCAGTCTACGATATCTGCTGTCACTGTTCCCCAACCAACAGGCTCATCTCTGTGTGTTTTGAGACTCGGGGACACAAGGATGGGTTCAACCGCTTCAGATCTATGACCAAATGTGTGAGCCCACCAGGGTTAGACACCACTCTGTCTACAGGTGAAATCTTGGGGTTCTGCAACAGTGCCAGTGAGCAGCACATTAGGGGTTCTTTATAATGAGGCCAGGGCAAAGTGAGCTTTCCAGCCTGCTTCCATTTACAACCTTGGTTTCCTGTAAGAAGCAAGTCAGCAGGAAACATAAGATGAGTCAAAGAAGAAAATGCAGCCGGGTCTGCATGGACCCACGTGTGCGCTGGAGTGTGGGCAAGTGGGGTTGCCTTCACCTGCTCCATTTTATCATGGTGTCCCCTAATCAGGCACTGATTAAACGACATTGATTCTCAGCGTTTCACAACCTGCAGCTTGACTTCCTTGAGATTAACATCCCATTTTGAGGCTTCCTCATGTTATCTTAAACAGACTGCTGTTACTTTAACATCACATTCATTTTGTAGAACTCGTGAAGCATGCAGCAAATTAAGAGCGAATAACATTATTTTCTAGTTAAATTTGCAAAGGGATGATCTGAATGAATTACTCATATTCCCGATTAATTTTACTGGAAATAATGAGGAGGCTGTAAAGGAAAAACATGTGCTTACAGAGCCTGCCTTTCAAGCACAATTTACGCTAATTATGGCTTCACAAATAAGGTAATCTTAGAAAAACTTCTTTAGGAGTTTAAATGCATCTAATGGCATAGCTACACAATTCTCATTTAATGACATATAAGTTTTAATTGACTTGGATTCTACTTCAGAGCTCTCTGTCTCTCTCTCACTCTATCTCCTCGTCTCATCCTCTCTCCATCCATCATTAACTGGCTTATTTGCTTTATCCAGAATGGTAACCATATGAGGAAACGAATAACAAGAGTCCATTGGTTCAACTGGAAACTCTTTTTGGGAGGTCATTTGGAAAGAAAAATTAAATTCTTAAAAATATGGACAGCTTGTGAATCAACATTTAATTTTGAGAATCTAAGCTAAATAAATAACCACTAATGCATACAGATTGAGCGTGAAGCTGAAATACTGTTTTAAAATCCAAGGAATCTTCACGCGACATAACCAAGGAATAGACACACGTGCTCAGTGAGGAAGAAGTATACAGATACAGTACAATGCTTTTCACCAAAAGCTAGCTAGAAACAATGTGTTCAGTACAATTCTGTTTCTATGTGCACACGATTAAAATTCTGGAAGCTACAGTGCATACTCAAAAATTAGCAATAGGTGTACCACTGTGTGCCAGGAATCTGCGTGACCTCCCTTGTTCCCATTCGACTATACTGACTGCTATTTTCTAGTGATGCATAGCAAACATGACCACTGCTGTTTCTTATAGTAGTCTCTGATTCTCTAAACATAATCTAATTACATCATTTCTATTCCTTCTCAATTGTATCTTCAAGTTTGCTTTACTTAGACGCATACACACACATGCACATACGCGTGTGCACACATGAGCACACACACACACACACACACACACACACACACACACACACGGGGAAGAACCAGTAAAGAGCAAAATGAATGTAGCTACTTCTGAACAATCATCAACCACTAGCAATTTCATGGCTACGATCAATCTGGATCAACTAAAGTGCTATTACTATCACTAATGATGACTTGATTATTAATAACAATAATAATGATAGCTACCCTCACTGAAATTTTTTACATAATAGACTGTTGGACATATGACAAACATCCCTCAAATTTTAAGAAAACTTGAAGGTAAATACTGTCACCTTCCTCATTGTACAAAGGGAAACCCGGAGCTGGGGGCAGTCAGAGCTTTGCTCCCCACCCAAGGCTACAATGTTTCAGATTTGGCATTGGAACTAGGTCTGACTCCCTGGTGACACTGACTTTTATCTGTGCATTATCTGTGTCTTCCTGTACACTGGAAAGATCAATCAAGATTTTCCAAAAGCAGAATAATAGCAGAGAGACAAAAACTGTAAGAAATTGGTTCCTGTGATTGTTAAGACTGAAAAGTCCTAAGTTCTTCAGTTCCAAAACTGAAGGCCTAAGATTCAGGAGAGGTGAAGGTGTAAATTCAAGCCTGACTCAGCAGACAGGAGGAGATACTATCTCAGCGCGAGCCCATAAAACGCTGAGACCTAATTCTCTCTTATCTGCCTTCTGTTGAATCTAGGTCTGCAGCCAACTGGATAGGGCTCACCTTTGCATGCAGGGCAAGTTGCTGTATGCAGTTTATCAATTTAAATGTCCTGGTACCAGAAATACCTGCACAGCTGCACCAGAATAACATTTAACCAGGTGTTTGGGCAACCCCTGTCCCACACACGTGGAGTATCCCAAGCCCGTAATTCACTCCAGGTCTCCCCAGAACACCTGTCACCACCATTTCTAAAGTCAGTTACAAGCGCAGCTCTAGATTCCCTCACAGCCTTCCTTCCCCAGCACTGGCTCCAGCGAGCTTTTGCTCTGTCTTTTGCCACCATATGCCAGCCTTCTAGGCACATGTGGACAGCTGCCCGTTCTTGCGGGACACTCAGGCAAAATAAATAAACAACCAAATGATTGGGAGAAATAAAAAGTAGCTTAATGGGTCAAAAATTTCATTACATGAGAAAATCATACGACATTTGAAACTTTGGCATCCATTAATAATATTTATCTTTTGGAGCACAGCTTTCCCCTTTTCCTGGCATTTTTCCACAGCTGCTTTGTGCTGCAGAGGTAGGACCCCGGCTGCAACAGAGTCCGAGAGCACAGACGGACTGTCGACCTGACCCTTTACAGGAAGCTCTGATGGTCTTTGTGCCACAACCTCAGCTTGCTCTGTGCACAAGTTATCGGAGAACGATCTGGAGCTGCTCTCAGGAAGGTCACGTAACCGGCATGCTTTGCGCCCCTCTTTAAATCCAGCTGCCCCAGCTGAGATCATAAACACTGTACTCAAACTACCCCGATCTTACCATGATAAAACAGCCACTTGCAGTTTTCTCTCCTTCCAATTATGAAGTTCTGAGTGGGCGTTTACAAATACGAATACGTGATTTGCATTCATTTAAGATTTCATTAATTTACCTTCCTTTAATAACAAAGCAAGGAACCAACTCCTTGTGCAATCTATAGTACCTCGCTCTGGGTCACGGAAAGGGTCTACAGGGCACACTCTCATGTTCACGGCATCTTTATGCATCAGGAGATGCACGCCTGTGTGTAGCACATCAGGTTTTCTTTACCAGGTAGACTGCTACCATTTCAACTGCAGTTCACTGCCAACAGTTCGCAACTGTGCAGGACCAAACAGACTCAAATACTTAGCTTCCCTTGAAAAATCAAGAGGTCTGTCCATACAGAACCCGCAGTCTGCCATCAACAGCTGCCTGGTCCTGGCCTTTTGATATTTCAGGCCAGTTTCCCTTCATCCTGTTCTCTATCTTTTTTTTACTCTTTCCAGCCTCTGATGGCAGTAGACATGATAACATCTGATATAACCATAAGTATATGACCATCTGGAGATTACCCACTAATGTGTCTATAGATGATATACACATCTGAACTGTTTTACAATATAAATACACAAATACAATAATCACAAAGTAGATGTGTGAATGAATGATCAGGAGCGGATCATTTTTTTAAAACCAATCGACCATTTGGGGAGTTCCTAAGGTGGCATTTAAACCACATGATACACTGTTGAGTACAGAAGTAAAACCATCTGCTCAACTAACAATGCTCATATAGGCAACACAGAAATTCCCGGGTTACATTCTACAGCGGTAGACGCTGGGTTAGAAGAGAGAAATTCCAAACGTACCATTGAATTTTTCACGCTTTGGAGCAAACGCTCATGCTGCTCCGCTATGGCCAAAGCAGCTGAGTGGACTTTCTGATAGATGGCCTCCCCGTCTCGAGTCTGAAAGATAAACAGCCCTTCACCGGTCTCACACATCCTGCGAAGACAAAAAGCAACAGGCTTCTGAGAACCCAGGTCCCCCGATGTTCATTCAGTGTGCTAAGATCTTGTGCCCACGAGGTTTTTCAATAAGATTAGGATTCTTGTTCGCATGCGCTAAACAAAACTAACTGGAATCAAAACATTCCAAGTGTCCCACTAAGTATTACAAATATGGTCATCCCATCCTCCCCAGGCAGGATTTCTTCATTCTTAAAATCCTATATGAAATTCTGAAAATGCATGCAGCCTTCTTTTTTAACTGAGCATGAAGGCACTAAATTATGTTTTGGAACGTAATGGACATTTTTTAAAAAGTGGGTGAGTGGATTTGATGGCTGACTGCAGATGTGAGGAAGAAGGCGGTCCATACACCAGACCTCAACAATGGAAACAAATCTCATTCCTAACAGGAGACTGTCACACACTGAAGCCAAAACAACACAACTGCTTTTTAATTCAATGTATACTGCTCTATAAGCATTCAATATACACAAATATACACTAAATGCAATGACTCAGTATTTTTAAAGAACTTGGACAAAATCATATGCAGGGACACTAAAAACAACTCTGACTTTGGTTCACACTTAAGGGCCACAGTAAAGAAAGACTTTGGTTTGGTTGTTTGTTTTAAAGGAACTAATTATCTGAATGTTCCTCCTCTCTCTTTGGGAATCTTCCAAAACTAAACACCAGCTCTAGTGCCCATTTTGCTCATATCTTAAAAACTGTTGAACACAACATAGAAACCAAGCAAATACTCTGATCAAACCATTGCTAATATTTTAAATCTACTTGGGTCTATGCAATTAATGTAAAACAAGCAAGATTTACCCCAATCTAATTTTTCCATCAAATCAACATTGTATACATCTGTGCAACAGTTTTCTGCCTATGTGGCAGGGTTTATGGAACTGGTTAAAACCTGTTTAGCTTGAATTTCATGACTATGAGCTATATGGGGATGCAAGGGGAAAACAGCGACAGATTATTGAAATAATCTAATATAAAGAATTCACTCATGAACTTGATCTTGTGGTTTTAGTCATTAAGTCAGTGTACTCTAATGAAAAACTAAGACAATTCAAGGCATTTTCCAATCAGATCTCGTTGCTCTCCTGAGGATATCTCACAACATTCCAACCCCTCCTGCCACTTCTCCTGCATCTAAGCCGCCACTCAAGCTTGATTCCAACACTTGGCGCTCAGCTCTACAAGGTTTTATGGTTTTCAAACACCATTTTCCATAGAAATATGAATTCCTTAAGAAGAAGCAGTGGGCATCTGCTCCTCTTGGGGCAGAAGTTACGGTTTGTTTTCTTACTTCAAAGCTAACTTTGGTTCCAGAACAGATGAAGGTTCTTCTTATGGGGAAATACCTGTAAGATGACTGATGAGCATCAAACTCCCTAGCTGTGATTCCCACACCTGACCGTCCACAATAAGAAATCAGTTAAGATCATGACCCAATGCATCTATCTGTTTATGGCTCTAACATTAATCTCTCACATGCCAATGTTTTCTTCTCTGTCTTAATTTTTAATACCAGCGGTGGAAGGCTTAGTCCATATTATGATTCATGAACTGGCAAGAGCCACTCTTTGAAAAATTACTCTTTTATCTAACATCCACTTCTGACAAATAATGATTTCATACAGGTTTTAACGTCATTTAAAGATCTAAAATGCTGTGATCAGAGACAAATGAAATTATTGTGTCAAGGAGTCTTCTCTGACTTACACAGACCACCCCACACACACCTAAGGGTATTAATACACACCCACACATGCACACACACACACACACACACACACGCATGCACACACACTCCACTTGAAGAAAGAACTAGGAATCACAACCTCAAACTCTGTCAGAGGCCAGGCAGAGAAAGTGACAGGTGAATTTGCTCCAACCCTCTGCAGCTATGGTGGAGAGTACAAGTCTTGTTCACATATTACAGTCATGAGTCAGCCCTGGCCAGGTATTTACATGAGGGAACAGAAGTCCAATGGAGCCACTGCTTCTCATTGGTTAACAAAAGCTGGAAATCCTGACGGCTACCTACACTCATCTGAATTTTAAATGCCAGCAGCCTGTTCCTTTTTTTTAAGCTGTGAAAGCCAGAATTGTTTGGTCAACCAGATCTGGCCAAGAGGTCTCTAGCGTGCATGAAAAAGACAAAATGCATTCATTTTGCGTGCCTTTGGTTTGATGAGTGGCACTTTTGTCCATCTGGTCAGGAGTGCATGACCCTTAGTTGGTCAGCCTGACCCAGGAAACTGCAGGCGAACAAACACTGGCCTCCACTTGCTCTTCTGTCAGGGGTCTTCTAACCTCTGCCCACAAGCTATTCCATCATCCTCACTTTGCCCACTTGGTTTGCTGGGAGCTGTTTCATAAGCAGCTTTACGACCCATTAAATGTTAGGATGGTTTTTTCTCAAAATAATGCAGTGCACTAAGGCCCCACGGCAGTAAGAAGAGAACAAAGGAAATAAAAAAGAAACAAATAAAAAGAGTAACACATCAACCAGGCTAATGGTCTTATATAAGCAAATGCTGTGGTAGTGTTTCCTCATCTCTTAAGAAAATGCAACACAAAACAAAGATGTTCTAATGGGTCCACCCACGGAAGACAGCAAATCCATGTGTTCTGAATGTTTATGGTCCCAGTGATTCTTTTCATTTCCTTTAGCCACTGGGATTTTACCTTAGTTGCTTCTCCAAAAAGGTCACAAATGACCTAGCACTTTCCTATGACCTCAGGCTCACAAACCCAGTGGACTGGATGCCAGAGACGTAAACAATGGAGTTAGGTCTGGCCTTTCTGATGTTCCCTAGGAAGATAAGGACTTAGGTAGCATAGTAATATTACCACACAGGCGCAGTTATAGTTTTGATTTTTCTCCAAAATTACTTTGCTTTAATGACGTACTTGTCACTCCAAACATGAAGGTTTCCATTAGTGAAGAAAACTGGAAGCTCGGAAAATACTGGAAAATACACTAATTCATCTATACACTGAATGCTAGCAAGGCAATGTCACAACAGGCAAGAGTTTAAGCTAACGTTTGCCTGGATGGACTTGCCCTTCAATTCCAAGTCAATTTACCTCTATATGTGTATTTTCAGTAGTAAAACAAATAGTCATAAAAATATTCAACTGAGATTTTTCAGAAGTATTAAATACAACATAGAGTATACAATTAAGTCTAGAAGAGAAAGAACTCCTGTTATTTGATGGAAATGTAAGCTCCAAGTAGACAGAAAACTTTTCAGATTTATTCATAGGCTTTTCTCTGCTACTAGAGACCCCTGATATCCCCACCTCCAGCTGCAACATGTCTCCAGCTGCAAAAATGTCTCCAGGCATCAACAAATGACCCTTGAGAGGTAAAATGCCCCTCGCTATAGAAAGACCCTGAACTAGACCAAGCCCAGGAACACAAGGGAGAAACTGAGTCATGCTTAAGCACTAAGCTACTGCATAGACAAAGCAGTTCCTGAGTTGGGGAGACTGACAGCTTTACCACTCACGGAGTGATGACAACCTTTTATGGTCGTGCATCTTTGCCTTTCCTGTTCTGATCATTGGCATTTGCCTGGCAACATCAACTCCTGTCAAGGCAGCATGTGTTGCCTGGAAATGAGGGGACTAGCCCACCCACTGCGCTGGAACATTTTCTGAGCCCTTGTTGTGAGCATCACGGTGAGGAATACATGCAAAACACTCTGTCATTCTGTTCTACACATCTCAGTGTCCTGAGCAAGAGACAGCTCTTGTCAACATCCATCAGCCACACACAGCTTCAGTTAAGATTGTCCGATCTCTGTGCTCCTTTTGGTATCAATCCATTTTTTTCTTCCTTGAACAAATGTGTTATAAATGGAGTCATCAAATCAATGTTATTAACTAATATGGTCCAACCTGGTATGGTGGAGCCCATCTGTAATCTCAGCACACTGGGAGGCTGAGGCGAGAGGACAGCAAGTGTGAGCACAGACTGGCCAACTTATCAAGACACTATTTCAAAAAAATAAAAAGAAGCTGAGGATATAACCTGAGCCAGAAACCTGCTTCCTTAACAGGTACATTAGGAAGCATTAGAGATGTACGTAAGCACTGGCGACACCTGGTTGTATTACTGCTCCATAATATAACCAAAGCATTGGAAGGAACGGAAGAGACTTCACCACTCTGAGACTCCCCTTTAAACTAGAACCTGCTCTGGGCGGTGTACGAGGTGGAGATGTGAAATCTCAGTTCCAGCTTCCTCACTGCAGAAATCATGACGTTGGACAAGGTCCTTGGCCTCCTAAAGACTCGGGGATTTCAAAATCCAAACATCAGGAGATCCCAAGCCTCGAGGGTTTGCATGGAGACAGAGTTTTGTATTCAGCAAAGGCTCAGGCAGCAAGCAAGCACTTCATTAAGGTTTGCTATTGCCGTTGACATCCCAGTGCCTTCAAGTTCCCAAGCCAAGGAGGAAAAAGCTCTCCGGAAAATGTCCTGAGCCAGGCACAAGCACACCTCTGTCTTGTAGGAAGCGCAGCAAAGCAGCACAGATGACCGCCTGGGGCGGGAAAGGGAGTTGGGCTAGGGATAAAGGACTTATCACCTTGGCTGGTGTGGGGAAGCTGTGACTTTACAGGTGAGGGGAGTCTTAGGGACCAGGGCCTCCAACTCTGCAGTGTCCAATTCTCTCAGCCCCGAGGAGCTTTCTATCTAATAGTAAGAGCGGAATTCCTTACAGGGGATTCCAAGCCTGGCCTCCACCTTTTTCATGGTGTGCCTTACTCAGCACCTCAGCCTCCGGACTCCTCAGCACCTGTCCTGGCCTCCTCCCAGCAGGAATGCTCTCCCCCCGAGTCCTGCATGGCTCACTCTCTTACTCCATTCTGCTCTTTAGTGAAACGGTACTCACCCAGCAAGGTCAGTCCTGTTCCCTGTCTTTAAACCCCCTCTTCAGCACCTTCTATCCATCACCTCTCCCAG